CATTAGATTCAATAAATACATTTATCTTACCAACATTATCAACACAAACAAAAAAAACCAACATCATTAATTGTTTATGTTGATAATAGAAATAAATATATAAAATAAAAACGAATGATGAAGAAGATGATCATATATTTTGACTTAAAAGAAGATTTATTAAAGATTCTGGACAATTCCATGGTAAAAAAATGAAATATTATCTTGTTATCTTTAAATAATTAGAAAATTTTTATTAAGTGATGTCTCCCAAATTGATCCTTGATTAATTTCTCCTAGCTTTGAGAGAGTAGAATGCCTTTTTTGTTTTTACGTTTGACAGTGTATTGAAAGTTCAATTAGTTCAGGACCTTTTGCTTTTTGTTCCGTAGTCAAAAAACGAAATATGACAAACAAGTAGTGATAGGAATGACGAATATAATGATTAGACCTATATTTACATTGTAAAATAGCTTGTAAATTTGAACTGAAGATACCCATCTCATCAGATACGAGTATTATATAATCTTAAGTTTAATTGTTATTCTCATTGATCTTTATTAAAAGATTAATTAGGAGTGAATATTCCAAATTGACTGGAATTGATATGGGCCTTATTCGAAAACAATTAAAATATGATAATCTATCTTAATTATCAATCAGAAGTCAGTTAGTGGTAGACTGATTAACCTATCTTTGTTAGATTTTTCTTAATGGAACTTCATTTTTTGACTGAAAATTTATAGCTGTTTTTTATTTTGTTCTAAATACATTAATCTAATGGCAATGGTAAATAAACCTATGAGAAGATGAAATGAAACAATAAAACTTTTCATATTATTTAACTTTTTCAGAAAAAAAAGTAAAGAGAATCAGCTTAATGCCTCAAACATCATATATGTCAACGAGCTGAAACTTTTTTTATACTAATAATAGAAAGTGGTTATCATGTCTAAAGTTTTTTTTTTGTTTCAAAATACGATGTAGTACTGATTCTTGTCAGGATTTAGAAAAAAGTCTAATAGAAAAAAAGCATGTCTTTTTTCTAATATATTCTCAGAATGTTGACGTTTGTATACGAATAGAAGAAGAAAAAATTGAAGGAGAGAATGAGAGAGTCGTATTTAACTCTTTCTGACTTCAATATCTTCTACAGAGCAACATTTGAGTATAGGAACAACTTTTCTTCTACTCATCAAAATTTATCGACTCTGAAAGTTTCACATTTTTCTGATAAACTATTGTCCAAAAATCGAGATCTTTGTTACTCGAGTTTCTATATGATTATTTGTAAAGATGAAAAAAAAAGTAGAAGAATCTCATACCAGATAGTAAACGAAAATATTCTATGATCCTTCAACCCTCTGAAAACTATCATGTTTAATTCTCCAAAACCTTCCTTTCATCTTCCATTCATCAACATTTTTTCTATCAAATACATTTGATAGACAATAATAATAATAATAATAATATAAAATTTCTTTTATTTTTAGCTGCTTATTTTCCTCGAAGACAAAATGAAAAAAAAGAAAATCAAGTTGAAAAATATCGTAGATATCGTATTGGTGAATTACCTGATATAGAAATACGTTATAGTGGTATTATAATACCTTCACAAGCACTTCCTCAATATTATAATCATATAGCACCTTTATTATATGCAACTTTATTTGCATCAATATTTAATTCATTAGAAGATAAATTATTACCTGATGAATATTTTTATTTAATTCATATAATTCAATATCCTTTTGATCTTATATTATCACAATGAGAAATATTCTATCCATCATTTGTTGCTCATTTACTTGATATTGTTTTATCAAAACCTGAACAAATAGAAATATCATCACAATATATAAGTGCATCAACAGTTCAAAGTCATTTAGAATCAGTTCGTATATTAACAATTGAATCTTTTATACGTTTAAATCAACAAAATTAACCAAAACAATATATAAATGAACCATCAAAATAAAATTAAAATTTCATACAGATTTAAATAATCAATTATATTAAAAAATTTATCAATAACTTGAATTAGCTAAATGTTATCGTTGATTAGCTAATTATGATGATGTACGTCGTATTTTTTCTCAAACACCAGCTTTAAAATCGATAACATAACGTGCTATTGAAGAAGAAAGTCATACAGATTTTTTATTAGCTTCAAAATAGTTTTATTACACCATTAGAACAATATCCATTAACAGATGAAACATTAAATTATTCAATATTAGAATTAGAACATCGATTTTGGACACAATCAATGTTAAATTGTTGTGATCAATTAAATAATTGGACAATTATGTCTAACACATATTTTTATTGGAAATACAACATTTGACAGATTATGGTCAAATGCATATCAATTAAATTATTTAATGCCATATGCTATAGGTACTAAACTTAAATTACTTATATCAGGTACTGAACAAGAACAATTAGAAGAAAATGATCTTTGTCAATTTTTTAATAATTTATCAACAAATTGAAATAATAGAATAATAAGAGGAAATTTCGAAACAACATTTGTTAAACGTTGTTATATTGAAAACCAATATCCATTTGAATTAGCAACATTTTTTCTTTATCAAAAAGATTTTGATCGTAAGTAATGAATTCAATAAATTTTTTGTTAATGTTAATCGTATAGGGAAAACACTACGTAGGTAATTTCACTTTTTAAATATCTGTTAGAAATATGTGGAACTATTCGAAATTTTCAAATCTTTTCGTCATATTCTATTTCATAAGTCCTCAACGGAAATTTGATCTAATGAGGAAAGCTCACCAAACTGACCAATGGTGATTGAATTGATTTTTTTTTCGATTAGTAAGACTCTGTAAAATCTGAAAAGACAAGAGTCTTTCGAACTTTTCCTCGAACTTATAGCTTCTTTCATGTTTTTTACCATTAAAACTCATTAGAGTTTTTTCTATAAATAAATTCATTTATTTATTTGTTTTATTTTGAGGTGCAAAATATAATATTCAATATTCTAAAGAACAATTTTTATTACGTTGGTCAACATTAAGTCGTTTAAGTGAATATGCTCGTAAAACAACAATTCAATTAATTCAACCTTATTATCAACTTGATCAATTTATTCTATTTATTGAACAAAATTTATCATTATTAAAATATATTGAAAATCGTTATTTAACAAATAATAAAAATCGATGTTATACGTAGTTCAATACAAACATCGAATGATATTGTTACAAATCGATCATTATTTGTTAGATGTATCTATCAAGAATTTGATATTTTTCTAGTTTTCTGCATATTTGAAATATATGAAGAATTCTAACACACTATGATCTTTTGCAAATAAGAAGCTGTGAGTTTAGGTCCACAAAAAATATGAACCCGCAGTCTCCAAGTTGCGTAACGATGAGAATCGATTGAGGTTTTTTTTTTTATTTCAAAGGAAAAGACAGTCATAGTTTTTAAATTTGTCATAGAGAGAAATAAACAAAAGTGAAAAACAGAAATAGTTGATTT